TGAAGAAAAAAATTATTTTTTACATTGTTAAATTTTTAAAGATTGTATTTTTCTTTAGGCTTGGAAAGGACTTAGAAAAGAGTATAATCGTATAAAGTCATGTAAATGTTTGTAAACTAATTGTACCATTTTGTATAATTTTAAATATGTTTATTCAAAAGTTTGGTGCCTCACATCAAAACAAAACAAAACAAAACAAAACAAACAAAACAAAACAAAACAAAACTGAATTCACAATTGAAATCAGCCCAGGCCAGCAGTCTCTCTAAAATGAAAAATCATTATCTAGTAATCACAAATGACTGGGAAGGTCATGGAAAAATTATTGAAACAACATTGATATTCACTGGTAAAAAAAAAAGGGAACCTTTGGCCATACGCAATCTCCAAAAAGGACAAATTTGCAATATAAAAATAGTCCATGACTCATTCTGTCTTGTGTCTGATGCTGCAATACCTAATGGGTTTATTTCACTTCAGACATATAAATATGCAGAGTTTGATATGGAATCACACCCAGTCTTTAAACTGAACGATACAGTCAGTCTTCTTGTGGTTCCTCCCTGGGTGGGTCACTAATGGCTGTAAATTGTAATTGTTTTGTAACCACATTTTCAGGACGTTAAAGGAGCTTTCCTGTAAGAGCTTGTGATGAAGGGTGTAAAAGGGATTGGGCCTCATGATTGAGCTTTTGCTCATTATTGAACATGGCAGTTGATTGAGTCTCAAACTGTTAAGATGACCTGTTTGTGAGACAAGCTTGTCATGAAAAAAAATCTGCATTTGCTTTTCTCTTTTGTTTTGACAAGTTTTTTGCTAGTGTTATTGCTAGCTATTATATCACATGTATCTACCAAACTAGGTCCTATCACACAGAGTTTAAAATGGGAAAGGGTTATATTTGCATATTTACCTTGAGGTCAGGTCAACACTGAGCTCATCTGAAGGTTTCCAAAAATACAGACCTGAAATAGGCCCATCCTCTCTGATGTTACAAGTTCAGTAGCTGCTCAGATTGTTTAACAGAACCATTGATCAAACATTCATATGAATCTTATGAAAACTGTCAAGATGTCTGGGTTATAGTTCACCCACAAATAAAATAAATTATATTTTGTTTAAAGAAGATTAAGCCTATTTTCAGAAGTTAAAAATAGACCGTACACTGAAAAAAATGGGTCTCATTTTCACTCAGGAACTGTCACTGTTAGTAAATTTCACAATTACAAAGAAACAAGAAGTAACAAATTGAATTAAACATGGAATTCTGAAGTACAAAGACTGAAATAGTATTTTCTTGTAAAACATACTCTAATAACCTTTCAATAAACAGTTTACTTCGAAACATTTTTTTACTGTGTAGTGTTGACATTTCATGACATTTTAGCACATATTGTGTAACATGAAATGTGAAATAAACCTAAAATTCATCATAATTCATCATAATTTAATTTATTTTATTATACATATAATATTTATACATATATTTACTCAGATTTAAATAAAAAATTTGTTATAGTTTTTATCCCCCCGACATATTACATTAATGAGAATTTGTGGTGAAACGTGTTGTCATGAACTTAATGCCACAATGCAAAAATATCTTAATTTAGTTGATTTAATTTTGCTAAAAGTGTGGGGATAGATGTCTGGTCTGGTCAGTCTGTTAACAGAGATAACAAACCAAAGGGCTAAACGGCAAGAAAAATAATCCTTTGAACTTCTGGGATTTATGCCACTGACAAGAAAAAATATATCATGGGTTTGCACCTACAAAATAATGTTTTTTTTTCCTCTTTGTGGCACTGAGTCAGGGGACGACCTGTGGTCTTTGTGGTTGTTGCATTCGTATGTGCATTGTTACCTACTCACACTGAAACATACTAAGTTTGGGAATTTAGTATATGCAAACAGCTAAATATATCAATGTGGCATAGGCAAGCTTATATGTCACTCTCTAGAGTTCTAGGCATGGAGTTTTTCCAAACACCATTGATTAATTCTTTTTAGGCTATTTTTATAAACACATCCACCCAGTCTGGGTGCGCAGAAAGAATGAATCAGCAATTGTGATTTCATTGACGTGTGTCTTGATGTGATGAATCATTTTGTGAAGTGATTTATCCTTCAATGCTACAGTGAGTGAAGCTCTGTAATGACGGAAACGGTCATGGCAGAACCGCATTTGAACTATTGCAACATTGCTCAGTATTTGTGACTCCTTGGCTGATAGCATCTGAAATTGCTTTTTAATTACATGCCCGTTCGAAGTCCCGTTATTTGCTGAGTAAGAAAGGCTGGTGAATTGAAAGATCAGATTCAAAGGGAACGCTAACACAGGAATGGGTCTAAACCATTTTTCCGTCATGTTAGAAAGTTTTTGGTTTAAAGTAGGCCACTAGTCCAGTGAGTACATTGTAAACTGTTTCCAGTGATTCACTTAATGCAATAGAGTGGTTAGTGCACTGCTGTTTCATGGTGTCATGTAACACTGCATTGTGGGTTGAATTTGTCATTTTCAAGGGAAAAGCATTCTTCTTACAGTCTTAAGTGTACCATTTGATTAGTCGTCTAAAAAGGAGCAGATATTTTTGCTATGATATTGTATGATATTGATGCTTTTTCATGGAAAAACATTATTAAACTCCCAGTTACTATTTCTGTTTGTAATAAATTTAGAGAAATGCATTTCTATATAGTACATCAAGCTTATATGTCACCATATACAGGTGCATCTCAATAAATTAGAATGTCGTGGAAAAGTTCATTTATTTCAGTAATTCAACTCAAATTGTAAATTTAATAAACCGGTGTCACCTAACTGTATGAAGAGTAAAATCTCCCGATGGGGACGTTAAAATCTCCCTTGGTACGAAACAATTACATTTCCATTGCCTGTGGAAATGTAATAAGGTGGAACATTTTTGACTTTTAATCTGTAAGGCCCTCTCAGACATTTGCAAAGTTACAGTTAAAGCTTCACCTATTATGTGCTTACTTGGTCTTCTCCCTCCTTCTTTGCAGGACTATAAAGACATTATTCATCCTTTGTTGATGCTGGCAAGGAAAGTTATTATGAACAAATGGGTTGAATATGGCCATCCCTTATATAGGGAATGGCTATCTATGATAAAGGACCTTATATTCTTATAAAAACTCAGATTCTATCTTATGGGTAAACTCATGTCATTTAACAGAATGTGGGAAGAACCATTGAAATCTTTGGGGGTTAGTGAAGATCCCAGTATGCACACATAATATGAAAATTCTAATATAAATTAATATACCCCTATTTATTTATTTTTTTGGCGATATAAATATGTTGATGTATATTGGACATGTTTTTCTTTTTCTCTTTTTGACTTCCTCCATAATGTGTTATGATTAGAGGTGCGCCGATATGATATTCAGTATTGGTATCACTCTGATACTGGCATTTTCTGCCGGATCGGGGAATCAGTCAGACGAGACCGATCCAAATCCGATATTGTCAGTATACTATTCTGTGTTTATTAAGGCCTACGAAAAGAACACACTTTATAAAGCACCCTAAAGTTTTCGTGCACTATATTCCAAGTGGTCTGAAGCCGTTCTGTAGTATAATGTGAGGTACAGATGAATATTTAAATCAAGTTCGCGTAAACTCTTCTCTCCGCTGTGGCTGTCTGTCATCCTCCATATAGCATTCAAACTGCGTATCGCGTTCGGTTACGACAGTCAAGACGATGAACCTCTCTCCAAGATGATTCAATGTTCCTATTATTATACTTCATCTGTAGATAAAGATCAAAGATTTTGCATAAAAGGACTTTATCTTACTGGAGTTTAGTGCTGTTTCTAAAGCATGTTATTTTCTACCGGGTGTCTGTTAGATCACAACACTGGAGTAGAGAGCACGATGAATTGTTCTTCACGCGCACAGTAACTGAAATTTAAAATGGATAAAAGAAGAAACTAGTGCTGGGCGGTATGACCAAAAATGTATGAAGAAACTCAATAAACTATAATACACCAATATCAATATCTCTTCCCTTTGTGCTTTGAACTTTTCTATGTGGACCGCTGCACGCTGTAACTCTTGTGTTGTTTCAAGTGCACTGGATGTGCATAAGAGCGTTGTGCCGCTCTGTATTGGAGCCTTTCATATTATAATACTTTTGCGCAATGGAAGATTATTAATAGCCTTTCATGTTCTGTCTTATCTATCATATGTTGCATATATTTATATATAAATATATTTACTTGTTTTTCATGAATGTATTTTACAACAATACAAAGAGCAATGTGTAACATTTTACCAGATTACACCTATTTACTTTTATTTCTTTCCCACTAAATAATGTTTTTTTCACTAAATGTTTAGATTTTATACAATTATTGTGAACTCGTCATTTTTCTAGAGTAACTTTTGCTGCTGAATTATCCACTAACCTAGTTTATAATAGTATTTTTCTAATTTTCTCAGATTATATATTTTTTCAATTGGTAATTTCCTTTATAATGAAGTTGTCTATATTTAGTAGATTGTGTGTAACACACAAAAGAGTGATGATCAGGTCAACACACACTGAGGTATAGAAATTCTACACTGATTTAAAACAAAAACCTCGCTGGTATCGGTATCGTCTGATACTCTGATATTTTGGGTATTGGATCGGAATTGGTTCTGAAAAAATGGTATTGTGCCACCCCTAGTTATGATGGACATTTTGCATGAATTCCCCTCTTCATTTGTAATTGTAATTTTTTTTTTTGCTGTTATTATTATTATTATTATTTTTCTCTATTTTGATTCTGGTCTGTAATATGACTTGAGCTATTCACTGGTTGTTGAATAAAAAAAAAGAAGAAGGAGAAGACAGAGGGGAACTTGGTGCACAGTATGTCTGTTTTTCATTTAAACAAAAAGCCTTTTTTTCTCTTGTAAAAAATGTCAATGTTTGGTTGAATATTAAGGGCACCTGTTGAACTGAATCATTTTTTTGCTCTTTATTCCACAGGTAGGAGTATGAATCTTCTCCGGACTGCGAAAGCTGCGCTGGGCTAGAGCTGGACTCAAATAAACAGGTAATGAATGGAAGGAGCAGGTAGCTAAAACTAAACCCATGTGATTGTTGACAGATGGTGCTTGTTTGTTTTCCTGCCTTGTGTAACTCAGGAGTGTGTGGTACTTCTTCTTCTTCTTCTTTTTATTTTTACTTTGAGTTCTACAAACGTAATGCCTGGAGAAAGTGTATAGCTATTATGTCTGCAGCCCTGAGCCCCAAAGCCACCATACCAACCACCTGTGTGTCTGCTCAGACCAAATAATCATCTGTTTTTTTTTTTTTCTGTTTTCTAAGTTGGTGAGTGTAACATTTCTGACAAGGGGCCTTTTACATGCCATTGAGTAAACTGAAACATGGCAGTAATGACACGGCCTACAGCTCTCACTTCATGAAGTGTCAGATGAAAAAACTCTCCAAAGACGTGGAATCACAGCTGTAACCTGTAAATCAAGGACGTTTTGTAGAATCCTCTGCGTAGTCCACTTCATTGTAGACCATTGCTCAGAAACGCACATGAGTCACACTTATTGCAGCGGTAAAACAACCTCACAATCTGGCCTCAGTCTCATGGGACATTCTTAAGGAGTGAGGTAAGACTGACCCAGGAAACCTCCCAGCATTTTATTCTTTGGATTATTTCTCTTTATGGGAAAATACTGTCACCACTCCCTCTTAGTGTTGTTCCTTTTAAAAGAAAAGAGCCAGAAAAAGCACTGGATCAAATTTAGACGAATGTGTCTGCACACAACCCCTGAACAGATTGATAGATATTAGATATAGATAGAGATAGAGATGAATAGATTATCTATAGATAGAAATAGATATATATATCTGCACAGCATAAATGAGTACACCCCCTCTGAAACTTAACAAATTCAGCAATTACTCTTTGCTTAGAAGACATGTTATGGTTTTTTAGAGATATAATATTCCAGCAAGTCTGCTTGATCAGTTACCAAAGAAGAATGTTAAAATTATTCAAGAAAATACCATTTTCTTATCAAAGTGATAAAATGTTGTGTTGCAAAAATGAGTACACCCTCCTGAAAGTTACTAAATAAAAAAAAATAAAAAAAAATTCTGGTGTAAGGTTAAGGCAAGTATTGATCTTACCTGTTGTATGTTGAACCAAAACTGTTAAAGGTAAGTAATTTCTTGATAATTAAGTGTTATATGGCCCACTGAATCATACTCAGACTTAATGCTGACAACAATGAAACCTCTTGAGAGAGAACTGTCAGGAGATTTATTTCCTAGCATAAAAGAGGACAATGGTACAAGAGGAATACCAAATTATTGTTTTAAGTGTGAAAATATAGCAGAAGTAGCACAAAAATTCAAAAACAATGGACTTGTGAAAAGGCCCCTGAAATAATCAGGTCTTCACTTTAAGCTTTCATTTAGTGATGAGTGAGTTTTTGCTAGAAAAAGAACAAGAGAAATACTGTGAAAGTGTCTCAGAGCCGGCAAAAGCTGTGAAAAGAGTGACACTTTATCTCACAGAGTAAGATGCAGCATGCAGAAGTGACATGCATGGTTGTTTATCCACACCAGAACTACCGACTGTAGCCAAAGCACAATAAACTCATTTAGCTTTTTCCAAGACCCATATTTACAAAATATAGACTTCTGGGAATCCATACCCTGGTCTCATGAGACCAATTCAATCATTTCAGATCTAACAGCATCCAAAACGTTCTGGTGTTGCTAGAGGAGGAGTACAGAGAGAAGTGCCTGGTTCCCACAGTGGCATTCAGTGGTAGTAAAGCATGGATGGAGATACATGTATTATAGTGATGGATAGATTGATTGATTTTGACATGAATAGATACATGGATAGATGTGATGGATAGAGAGATTTTGAGATGGATATAGATGTAGAAAGATAGAGGAATAGACAGACATCTGATGTATAGACAGACTGTTGTCATTTTTTTTTGTAGTGAACAGGAAGGACCTCAGGCTTGCTGACATGTTTGATTATTTATATATTCAAAATGTGTAATTCAAAGTGGAAGTATCTTTCCTCAGTATTTTTGTATGAGTCAGTTGGCATGTGGAAGCTTCATTATGTGGTAAACAAGTATTTATTAAGCAAAGGAAGGAATCCTCTTACTGGCTTTCTTATCTTGCAAAATCAGACAGATTCTGCTTTAACCGATTTATAAATAATTTTTTTAATGATTTATATCACACAAATCTTCTGCTCTTGTCTATGAAAACTTGTTCAAGAAAAAGTAAAAATAAAAATTTGTAAAAATTACAAGAAAAACTTGCGACTGTTTTTCTTGTAATTGTGACCTTTATATCGAACAAAAAATGTTCTGGTTACTACTAACTTAACTCCATTGAAGAAGGCAATCCGCGAGTAGGGTTGGGTATCGTAAGAAATTTTCCGATTCCGGTTCCGGTTTTGCCTAACGATTCCCGGTTTAATTACTATTTTTTCACAATTTTACCTTCATTGCATGTAGTGTTGCTGTAAGGTAGTAAGTAATGTTGAGTAATGCTAGTCCATCAATCACATGTGCTTCAAAGTTTGTTTTTTACACTGTCAACAACATTTTGCTTTTCAAGCAGGAATAAGCTGGTTGGCCAAATAGTCCCTTGAGGGCTAAGACACTTGTTCATTTCCCTAAATTAATGAAATATTAACTGTTATACTTATAACCATGTATGCACACACTCCATAAAGCCCCTATTTTACAAATAATAATGCAGTCAGGTGTGATGCAATGAGTGGTTTCCACATTTTTAAACATTTAAAATGCATGAAAATAAATATTTTCCATTACTTTGTTTATCACTCTTGAATCGTGAATCGAATCGTGAGTTGAGTGAATCGTTACATCCCTAAAGAAAGAAAATTTCTGCATATTTATACTTTAAACATGATGATCCATCAGGACTTAGGTCACGGAGTGTCTCTGATGCCATCTGGTGGGGAAAAATTACATAAAATTGCATTTTATGATTACAGCCACTAGAGGTAAGCCAGAATAAGCGTAATTTTATTTGTGCATTTCTATATTTTGTAAAAAAAAAAAAAAAAAATGAAATTGATACTGAATTTTAATCCAAACACATGCATATTCATACAGTTTCATAAATATGTAATAAATATAAAAGATACATTTAAAAATATAAATATGATATAAACTCATTGGTCTCCACCCCATCACTCAAATTTAACTGTTAAGTCAAAAAATATTTCAAAATGACTGGTCATTTCCCAGCAGACACATCATAAATGCTATAATGTGTTTCAATGGGAGTGTGTGTGTGCCGTGTGTGTTTGTGTGTGTTTGTGTGTGTTTGTGTGTGTTTGTGTGTGTGTGTGTGTGTGTGCCTGTGGGTATGTGAGTTTTTTGTGCATTGGGGACATTCTGCAGTCTCAGCCCTTTGTTTGGGTATGCATCTTTTCTGGATTGTGTCAGATTTTATATAGTAAAAAAAATCAAATAAATAAGAAATGCTGGGTTTTTTTCGGACATTCCATTCATTCCTATGGCCGGGTCAAAATGACCCACGAGGGACACTTTTGATACTTTTTTTATTACACCTTATTTTATTACACACAGAATCCTCGAATCGACTCACATTTTTTTGTGTGTGCTCCATGCTCAAGTGTGACAAAATTAAATAAAAAAAAATCCACAGTTTTTTCATAAATTCCATGCTTTTCCAGTGGCGGTTCAAAATGACCCGCGAGGGACACTTTTGATACTTTTTTTATAGCACCCACTTAAACTGCTCGAATTCACTCGAAAATTTTTTCACGTATTCCCGGTTCAAGTGTGACAAATGTAACAAAGTCTCATACCATAACGATCAACGCTCGATTTCTAAAAAATCTTTAAAAATGAGTTTTGGGTCAAAATGACCCGAGGGACAGATGAGGGTTAAAGAGGCAGGGCTGCATTTCTGTTATTTGGTTTGTGACATCCTTTACGGGAAAAGCCGGCGCAAGGCTGCTCACAGCGCTTGGTCACGTGTCGCACCAGAACCTTTTTCGGAACCGAAACGTATAAATTGCTCACGGTTCCAGTTCTTTAAAAAAAAAACGGAACCGGTTCTCGGTTCCCAACCCTATTTGCGAGTGAAGCAGGACGAGACTCATGCTCTTGCAGTGAGAGCAGTCTGTCTCAGTGAGCACAGCCTCAACATGGGTCTTCTGCTGTGGCTCTTCTACGGCGAGTAAGTAGGCATCGTCTTCTTTTCTATTTTCAGAGTCCAGCGAGGAGATGCTCTTCAAACTGAAGGAGAAAATTCTGACAAAATGGCATTTAGAGCTGACTTATATAGGCAGTCGGCTCCGCCCATTTTGGCAGGCTGAATTGCCATTTGTTCATGCAGCTTCATGAACATGAGAAAAGCAGGCTTCAGCATTCAGAGTAAACAGGAGTTTCCCCGTAAGCGTTATACGTAACGGGAGAGACCATTTCGAAAGGGAACTTTATTTTTTGTTTTAAATTTTATCCCACAATTATGAACTTCATTATGCACTTATACTGCACTTATACTGTCTTTTTACATGTTGCATCGTGCCACGTAAACATAAAAACATGTCTGGAGAAATGACAAACAACAAGCGCTACTCTACACTGGTCAAAACTCGCGTTTGAATCGTCAGTGGCAAATCCTTTAAATATGAAAACTTACTTACAGTCTGTGAGTCAGAACAGCCAGCATTGTAGTCTATCTGAATATTTGGGTTGAACTGTTCTGGAACAGTGTTGTAAATACAACTTAACCACTGATTTCATAGTCGTGTCCTCTTTTGGAAGGCCAAATAAAGTAGTTTCGCTTTCACAACGAAACACAGCGTCACACACGGCGGGCTTGAGTGAGTGGCGGCCGGCGGGCCTGAGAACGGCACGGCCGGCGGGCTTGCGGCAACCACATGTGACGACCCCGGGCTGGACTCCGCTTCATCCACAGTGAAAGCTGATCCAGCGATCACCGTGGGAAGTAGATGTATTTCCTCAGCGACCAGCACGGATCAGCTCTAGGCATGAC